GTAATTTTGAGACATTTTTCCATGTTCAATATCTTAGGAGATATCAATATTTGAAGCACGTTATTAGAAGCACAAACAAAAACATACTTGCAATGAGAACATTCTTTTATTTGCATTGGGCTATGTTTGAATACTGGAAAGAGTAGTTGCAAAGAACAGTTGCAGTCCCTGAAGGAGAATGAAAAGTCAAGAAGAAATGGTGAACGAACAGTCAAGCAACAAGGAAGCAGTCATTCTCCTTGCGGAATATCAGAGGAGATAATCAGAAACACATGGCTATGGTGAGTACAGATGGAGTCCCCAGATAGCAAAGTTTCCATTCAAGGAGCCCACATTAAGGCGATTTTCCCCATTGTGTCTGTTTGTAATTAATGTGTTCCTGTGTTATGACATATTGAAGTGTTAGATTCCAAAAAACAAACAAAAAAAATCTATTGAGTGATGTATCTCAATGAAGACAACTAAAATCGTCTTCAGTTTATATATTAAATTGAAATAAATTTAAGGCACAACAAATTACCAGCTAAAGTTCAAACAACTATGAAATGACAAAAAGTGTATGTGCTTAGGGAGTTAAAATCGAAAAAAAAGAATGAAAAGTTGGCCAGCAAGAGAGAGAGTACTTCCTTGCTATGGAAAGTTGGCATACACTATACCATGATCTCAATCTGTACTGGAACCAGTGTTAGACATTGAACCAGATCCCAGTCGTAAAGATGTGAAGGGAACAGTCAGTCACCCACCTTTAAATATTTTATACTACAAATATTTAACCCTCTGTGCCTAGGCTGGTATAGCACAAAAGACTGGGACATACTCATTGCTCATTCATGAAAGTATGAAAACGATGATTCAAGAAAATAGTCTGTGAGTATCTTTGGTTTCTGAACGTGTATTCCTGCAGACTCCACAGCAGTCATCAAATCAGTTTTTTCAAATGTCCTCAGGTAGATTCTTTTAAGAATTTTTTTTTCCTTTTGTAGATTTATAAATCCAGATGCAACTGCCACTTTCTGGATGGGCAGTTAGTTTAAAGTTTAAATGTATTATTTTTTAAGCATGTGTCATGTTTTTTTTAAATATATTTTATTGATTTTTTACAGAGAGGAAGGGAGAGGGACAGAGAGTTAGAAGCATTAATGAGAAAGAAACATCGATCAGCTGCCTCCTGAACTCCTCCTACTGGGGATGTGCCCGCAACCAGTGTACATGCCCTTGACTGGGATTGAACCTGGGACCCTTCAGTCGGCAGGCCAACGCTCTAACAACTGAGCCACACCGGTCAGGGCTAGCATGTGTCATGTTTCTTAGTATTTCTTTAGGTCTGAATAGCGAATTATGATTTTTCCCAGAGAATTGCACAGACACATACACATACATACAACATTTCCATAAAGTGCATAAGCTTGGTAGACAGCTCATGCATCCAAATTCTTTCTGGAATCCATGAACCTCAGGTCAAAGCCAGCTGCTTTAAGTAACTTTAAAAATCACTTAAAGATGGATAAACACAAGTAAGGGAAAGCCCTAGCAGCATGCATATTTTGGTATGCCGATCAAAGTAAAAACAAATCCCCATTTTTTAAAATTTATTATTATTATTTTAATCAGAGAGGAAGGGAGGGAGAGAGAGATAAGCATCAATGATGAGAGAATTATTGATTGGCTACATCCCACATGCCCCCCACTGGGGATCAAGCCTGCATCCTGGGCATGTGCCCTTGACTGGAATTGAACCCAGGACCCTTCAGTCTTCAGGCCGATGCTCTATCCACTGAGCAAAATCAGCCAGGGCAAATCCCAAATTTTATAGATAGAATCAATGCTTCTACAAAAGGCCTAAAAGCTATATTTTAGTCTTAAGAAAAATCTATGTAGTATCTCATCAATATTTTGTTTTTTTATAATCCTCACTTGAGGATATTTTTTCTTTGCTTTTTCAGACAGTGGTAGGCAGGGAGAGAGGAAAGGAAGGAGAGAGGAAAAGAAAGAGAAGAATAGAGAGAGAGAGAGAGAGAGAGAGAGAGAGAGAGAGAGAGAGAGAGAGAAAGAGAGAAAAATTGATGTGAGAGAGACATATAGACTAACTGCCTCCCATATGTGCCCCAGTGGGTGGAGACAAGGAATGAACTCATAACTCAGGTTCATGCCCTTGGTGGGAATCGAACCTGAGACCTTTTGGTGGAAGGGCCAATGCTCTAACCACTTGGCAACACCAGCCAAGCTCTCATCGGTCATTAAAAAAAAAAAATATATATATATATATATATATATATATATATATATATATATATATATATATATATATATATTTTTTTTTTTTTTCAAAGAGGAAGAGAGAGGGAGAGGGCGCAATAGAAACATCAATGATGAGAGAGAATCATTGATTGGCTGCCTCCAGCACGGCCCCCACTAGGGATTGAGCCCACAACCCAGGCATGTGCCCTTGACTGGAATCAAATTAGGACCCTTCAATTCACAGGACAATGTTCTATCCACTGAGCCAAACTGGAGAGGGTTAATTATTTTTAAATAAATTTCATAAGTAGCTGTATTTGAGAATAATCTATATGTTGACCCCAAAGACATTTCTTTTTTCAATTAAGCTATTTGAAAGAATATGAATATTTAAAACTGGATTATTATTCAATTCTCTTTTGGATCAGATACTATAAGAATAACTAATTTATGTCTGACTTAAACTAACTGCCACATAATATGCTCTCTCTAGCTTTCTTTCTATATCTACAGAGAATGGCTCTAAACCAATGGCTGGCACAAGTTAAGTTAAAAACAGAGGCACATGGCAAGTGTTTGGAAATTTAGAGTTCATATCTATTGGATTTCTGGACTGGAATTGTGAATTTAGAATACTTTAGGATTAACACTATCAAATTAACAAAATAATAAAATTTTATGATTGACAAAATAACAAATATCAACAATTTGAAAAAAATCATCGTGTGTTTGTAATTTTTTGTGAAGAAAAATTCTAGAGTGAATGTTTTATGCAAGCAGCCAAAAAAAATCCAAAGTGAAATGAATTTTTCTGAGACAGCTTAGAAATAACAGTTAACATATGCCTAAGTTACAGACAAAAGCAGGATACATGTAAAAGCAAGTAGGGAGTAAAAAGGACTGTTAACTTAATGAATGAAAACCTTTTTTGTCCAAATTTCTCAGCAAAAGTTTTAGGTACTTAAGGAGCAAAACCATCTCAACTATTTTTAAAGAAATTATATTTAATAATATTAGAACCAAACAAGAAGTGACTTTTAAAGTCACAGTTTACACCCATGATAAGTTTGATGTGAAAAAAAAAAAAAATTACACGAGTTAAGTTAATGCTATTATTAATAAACAAAAATATACATTCTCCCATTACTTTAGAGCCATAGTCAGCAAACTGTGGCTGGCAAGCCACATGTGGCTCTTTGGCCCCTTGAGTGTGGCTCTTCTGCAAAATACCATGGCCTGGGCGAGTCTATTTTGAAAAAGTGGCATTAGAAAAAGTTTAAGTTTTAAAAAAATTGGCTCTGAAAAGAAATTTCAATCATTGTACTGTTGATATTTGGCTCTGTTGACTAATGAGTTTGGCGACCACTGCTTTAGAGTATTTAATAATTGATTCTCACTTGGAACTGATGTTCATCTAGAATGTGTTTCTAGTTAACTTACTTATCTGCTATTTTTTGCATAACATATTTCTTGGTCAAGATGCTTCTTGACATTATTGATAAAATAAGTCATTCATTTAAAAGTTTTCAAATTTTCTTCATTCTAACCTAATATCATTTTGTATTTCAGTAAGTTCTTAGAGTTGTGCTTTCACAAATTACTATTAGATCTTTGAACTTATTTTTATTTAGAGCATCAGCCTTGCGGTAGGAACCGGTTAGATGGACCTTGTCAGAATGCTGGCCCAGTGTCCTGCCTGAACATCTGGGAGCATCAGTCATCCCGCCTGTAAAATAATGGCACTCATACCTGCCTTAGCTCTCTCACGGGGTTGAGTCCCATGTGAAATCCATAAAGAGTTTTTAAAAACAAGATGGTACTGGTGCTGGAGGTGTTAGCGATAATGGTAAAAGTACTGTTTGGTATTTAACAAGAAATTCTGCTCCAAACAATAACCATGATCATAGAATTTACTGCAGAAATAAGCTGTTAGTTTACAGATTGCTAAATCATCTTGCTACAATACCTGCTGTAGCATAGAAATCATTGACTTTGCTACTGTGAATTTTGTCTGTGTGTTTTATTTTTCTTTTCTTTTATTTTTTTAGACTGGACTATTTTAAATATCATTTCACTGACAGGCATAAAGAGGGGTGGTATTTTAAAATAGGAATTGGAGCGTTTTCATGTGTCTTGTGTTTTCTCTAACACTTAACAAGTGAGATTAATAAAGTTAATTAGCAGAATATAAATACAGGATAATCTACATTTTCCAAATTCTATAAGCAATGCAATGCAGTGTATCAATTCTTTCGCAGAACCCTATTGTAATTTCCTTTTAAATGCTTCAGAAATAACTACTTGCTCTAGAAATGTGTTCACCAACAAAAAATGGATTTAACCTATTACAAAATGAAATCTGGTAGTATCTTTGAGTCTGGAGTGGTCTGGCTGCCTTGAAGAAAGAAACACTTAGTGTTTATCAACTTTTAGGGATCTTTATTTATGTCCCTAAACTTTAATTCCTCCATTCTATTCGCATCCTGAAGTTTTCCAAAGCACTCAGACCACTCCCACCTCCTCCAAACTGCCTACTTCATCCAGCTGGAATGAAGTGAAACCCTCAGAGAGAAAGTAAATGGCCAGGACTTTCTGGGAATAAAAGAGAAGTTGGAGCCGCATGTGCTTGGCTGTCATGAGGTCACTCTCTGGGCTGGGTACACCCTGGACCTCTTTCAGAACTCCTGCAAGTTAATTTTAGTGTTGCAGACAGGACGGAGCGAGGCAGAAAATGTCAAGGTTACGCTTTCTGGCTGCCTTACCGTTCTGATTTCCCGGGCATCGCCAGAGAGGAAGAAGCACCCTTGGTCCCCGGACCATCTCCTCTGGCATCCGCTGGCCTTGGGGTCGGGGGGTGAGCCGGGGGCAGCCCCGGGCGCGAGGGCTGCGGGCCTCCTGGTCCCCCGGAGCGTCAGGCTCTGGTAGAAGAGGCAGAGGGCCACCGCCAAGCCCACCACGAAGGGCCGCGGGCCACGTCGCCGGCGACAGAGGAAGCCCGGACGGCAGACCATGACCGGCTCAGCTGCGCTCGGCCCCGGTCCGCGTCGCCGGAAAAGTCATAGCAGCTCCTTCTCGTCAGCATGAAGGGGACACGTCCGCCTCCCTTCCCCGCCGCTTAGGGGGCGATTGCTCCATCCCGCTCAGGAACTTTCCGAAGAGCCACGCCAAAGAGTTAGAGGTCCCGGGAGTCGGAGACGGTTACGAAGCGCCTTTCCATGGATGACAGTTTAAAAATAAATAAATAAATGAATAAGTGGGCTGGCCTGGGTTAAATAATAGCGGTTTTAAAAGGGCATCCAGGTCATCATAGTTGTAACCAATAACCCAACTGTTGCTTCCGGCGATGCCTTATTTCCACAACGTCCTCCAGCTCACAGGGACGACATCCCAGGGGAAGAGAAGGCACCCCAGGGTGCATCTGGGACCTCAAAACAGCTCCGAAGAGCACGATCCGTTAAAACGCAAAGCGCCCCGTGGCGCAGCGGGGGGGGGGGTGGGGTGGAGGGGGTGGAGGGGGGCAGAGGGGGGTGGAGGGGACTAGAGGGGGGCGGAGGGGAGCGGAGGGGGGCGGAAGGGGGCGGGCCAGCCGGCCTCAGCAGGTCCCCAGTTCTCCTCCAGCTTTAGAAGCTGCCCCGCTCTCCGCCTTCCAAGTTCCTCAACTGCTTCCCTTCATTCGGTTTCAAATCTCCCCTTCCCTGCAAGCGCCTGTGTCTTTGGACATGAACACGGAATCCACGGGTCGCACGGGCAGGGTTCCTGCTGGGGTTTTCGCCTGTTGCTTTGGGGCATTCCGTTTCAAGTGCAAAGTTCTGTGTACTTACTCGGTATTCATCCTTTCGGCCAGAAAAAAAGTTTCCACGCGTCCCTAATGGAGTGTTGATCGGAGGCACTGGGAAGGAAACACCCCGTCCTGTGACTCCCATTCATCTGACCGCGCGCCTTTCGTCCTCCGCTCCCCCCCTCCCCCCCGCGGGGAGCTCGACCCTCACCCCGCACCCTCAGTCCGCAACCCCGCAGCCCGCACCCCGCAGCCTGGAGGCCTGGGAACAGGGCGCGGGGAGCCGGGAGCCGGGAGCCGGGAGCGGGGCGCGGGGCGTGGACAGCGGGGCGGGGCTCCTCTCCCGGCGCCTCCGGCCCCGGGGCAGCTCGGAGCCGCGCTCAGCTCTGGATCAGACCAGGGGGAGCATCCACAGACTAGGGGCGTCGGTGCTCATTCCCCCCAAACGCAGAGCTGCAGCAATTAACTGCACAATTGATGCTCCTTGCCCTAGGTAATTTATCTTTCCCAAGACAATGAATGGTGCAACAATAGTCCTCCGTCCACTGATGACAAACGTCGAGGATCTTCACTGAGGGGGGGTGTGGTCCCCTCTTTTGGGGTTAAGTGGGCACAACTCCTGTCTGGACCTTGGAACAGCACAGAACAACCGAGCTTTCTGCTTGGTACCTGACTCATTCACAGTTGTTGTTAGCAGTCCTGTCCTGGACGAATGCCCGAGGCCTCCGAAGGCTAATTGCTGACGCGTCTTATGAGGAGCTGATGGGAGCGGGTACTGGGTAACTTTTGCTCAGTAGGAATGGTACACAGAAGCTTTGTCCATATCCAACTCCGGCTACTGCTGCTCCACAGGCCGCCCCAAAGACACTCCCAGCCAGGCTCTCTGCAGGCTCCCTCCCCGGGTGCTGAGTCAGCGAAGGGGACTTCAAGGAGAAAGCCATCTGTCTTGTGCTTGGTGCTCACCACTCCCTGCCCTCGCTTTTCGAAATCTGCGGTTTAGGCTCACAACAGACAGTCTCCAAAGGCTCTGAATCTAAATAGATGCTGTAGCCTGTTTCTAACTCCAAGTCATTGTTGGGGGCTGAGGTTCCCTGTGAGGCCACACCCCCAGAGTGATTCCACGCCTTAGGCACGGTCCTGTCAGTTGGATTTTGTAATGCAGGGCGCCCCCTAGGGGTGCCCAGCTACTGTAGAATGGACATCTACAGATAGGAAACTATGTTAACATGGTTATAAAAAATTAAAATTTTAGAGAATACATATTCACACTAAATCTAGACTTATTCCATGTCCTTGCATATATTTCCTCCAGTGTGTTTAATACTAATTTATACAGCCAGACTCGTCAATCCCATGACAAATGGAGGAACAGAGAAAAATGAAATGACACTTGACTTTAGTAAGCCAAAGGTTTTGTAGAAGAAATGGCTAAACAATGAGTTTTGGAAGATCTAGTTTTGGTGGATGCACTGTGATTGGATACATTGTAGGAATTATGAGATCTCTAAGCTGGAGTTGTTCTGTATTGATGAGGTCCAGGGGGTGACAAAGTTACTTACTAGGTGAAAGGAATGGACAGGTGCAGTTCTATTAAGTCAAAAAGTCTGGAAAACCAAGGATTTGAGGAATATCAAGGGTCATTTGTGTGCATTGTTAAATTGGTGAGTTCAGGATACAAAAGAGAGCATAAAGCAGATACTAAAATCATATTGCCTTTTGGACTAGGACAGTGGTCAGCAAACTGTGGCTCTGTTGACTAATGAGTTTGCCAACCACTGAACTAGGGGAAGTGAAAAATAGCAGCATAGATAATTTTGGAACTAGACTTCAGAAAACAGGAGTTAAAAAAGAAGGTGGGAAATTAGCATTCTAGAAATGATGCCAGCAGATTGAAAAACCCAATTTCCTATTTTACCAATAGTCTGAAGGAGAAGCTAGTAGACAAAGGGATGTCTGATAGAAAAGGTTTAGTTAGAGTGGGATGGTGGAAAGAAAAAGTGGAAAGAAGTTACAGCAAAAAGTAGAACCCAACTAAGGGAATCCATAAATAGCATTTGATATTGAAGTTAACCCAACCTGAATATGGATCATGTTGCTCTTTATCAACTGTTTTCAAGCATGTGATTTATGAAATGAGGATACTCATGCCTCCTTTGAAGTGTTATTGGCATAACTAGATGAAATAATGTGTGAAACTCACCTAACCATTCTGCACATTTGTTGGAAGAATGCAACATGCTGAATGCATGTCTGTAATGTCTGGGGTCCTGAGTTTGAGCTTGTGTGTGTGTGTGTGTGTGTGTGTGTGTGTGTGTCAAACACATGAACAGATAACCCTATCCTATCTAATAAAAAGTAACATGCAAATTGACTGTACCTCTGATACACCCAGAGCCACACCCACCAACCAATCAGGAGTATGCAAATCAATCCAACCAAGATGGCTGTAGCCCTGAAGAGAGCAGGAGGTTTGGGTTTCACCAGCAGTGAAGGAAGCCAAGCTTTCCACCTGCTCTGACCTGCCTTAGCCTCCACTTAAGGCTACAAAGTTTCAATTATAGAAGATAAATAAATCCCAGATGCCAGGGCCTCTCCTTGAGTCACCGGGAGCATGGCCAGCCTGAAAACCACAACAGGCCCCTCTCCCAGGCCACCCCACACCCCAAGGGAACCCTCACCCTGATCCAAGACACCTTTCAGGGCAAACCAGCCAGCCCCCACCCATACACCAGACCTCTATCCTATCTAATAAACTAATAATATGAAAATTGATTATCATTCCAACACACAAGATGTCTGCCTGGATGTGGTCAAAGATGACTGACCCCCATGTGGACACAAGATGGCTGTCACAAGATGGCCTGCAAGGGAGGGCAGTTGCTGGTGATCAGGCCAGTAGGGGAGGGCAGTTAGGGGTGACCAGGCTGGCAGAGGAGGGAAGTTGGGGGCAATGGGGGTGGGGGCGCCCAGGCCTGCAGGGGAGAGCAGTTAGGGATGACCAGACCTGCAGGGGAGAGCAGTCAGGGGTGACCAGATAGACATGCAGGGGAGGGCCATTAGGATAAATAGGCTGGCAGGGGAGCAGTTAAGCATCAATCAGGCTGGCAGGGGAATGGTTAGGGGGTGATCAGGCTGGCAGGAAGAAGCAGTTAGGGGCAATCAGGAAGGCAGGCAGGGGAGCAGTTGGGAGCCACCAGTCCCTGTAGAATTGGGCCTAAAGGGGCAGTCAGACATCCCTCGTGGGGACCCAGATTGGAGAGGGTGCAGACTGGGCTGAGGGATACTTTCCTATCCTGTGCATCAATTTTATGCACTGGGCCTCTAGTATAATATAAGTCTAATATGCAAATTGTCCCCTGGGATGGTCATTTGACTGGGAGTTTAACCACTCTCTATGATGTGTGCTGACCACCAGGCATGTGCCAGTGATGCAGTGCTGGCAGAGGGCAGCAATGGAGGTGCTGCCAGCCAGTGGGCATTGATGAGAGCAGGACTGCAGCAGGTGAGCAGTAGGTACCAGGACAAGGCGGGTGTGAGTGGGGGCCTGATTGCCCCGCTGATCACCCCACAGATGGAGACCTGCAGCAGCGGCAGGGGGTGGGTAGCTGCCTGGCTTCCAGGTGCTGAGGGAACTGGGTGGGGAGCCCAGCCATGACAGATTGCCCCACAGATGGCAACCTGCAGCTGGCAGGCTTTGATTGCTGGATCTGGGCTAGGCCCCAAGCTGGAATGGGGAGCTGGGGATGGGTGGTGGCAACCAATGTCCTGTCCTGCAACACCCAGGCGGGGGGAGGGGTGGTGGTGCTGTGACCTCTTTCTGGCTCTGGGGGTGGGGGTGATGGGGACGGAGGTGCAGTGAGAATGTGGGATGTCTGCTGAGCTCAGTCTTACTCCCCCTGCTACGCTCCCCTGGAACACCAGGGCTTGAGCACCAGAGAAGCTCCCGTGCACAGGTGCTGGCGCCCACTAGAAACCCACCCGACCCTGCACAGCCTCTTCTGGGTGACCAGAGGCACAGCTGCCAGGACCATGGGGGCTGGTTGGGCTCCCTGTGGGTTCACTCAGGAGCCAGACTGCAAAGCCAGCTGGGAGAGAGCATGCTGAATGCTTGGCTTCCATGCGGCACCGCTGGGTGGCCAAGAGGCCCATCTTGCACCCTGGCCCACAGCATCCAGCTGCGTTCATCTCCATGTGGGGATTCAGACGCTGTGACTCAGGTGGGAGCCTGGGGCCTAGGTGCTGCCCAGGGCCCAGAGGTCAGCTGGGACCTGCTCTTCCACGCGACACTCATGCTTCAGTCGCTGGCCAGCACCAGCGACCACACCCATGCACGAATTTCATGCACCAGGCCCCTCGTGATCAATACAATGGCTTTTTGGAACACAGATGCAACAAAAGCAAACATGAGCAGTGTTAGATCTCTTGCTTTTGCTTTGTGAAATGGAGGTGGGTGGCAGATGCTCGTTTTGAAGAGTGAGAACGAGGCTGGAGTGGCAGTGGTTTGTACGAGAGGCTACAAGTGCAGGTAATGGAAGCATGTGTGAGAGCATGAGGGTGACAGATCAAGGAAGAATGAAGAGAGAGTAAGTGGTTCAGTGTGGAAAGTGGGAGGATAAATACACAGAAGTACGAACCCGTGGATTCTGGCAGAGAATCCGAGTGAATGCTTTTGTGCATATGGTTTCAGG